TGAAGAAGATGAGTTTTGGACAAATAAAAGGAATTGCTGCTTTATGTAGAAGTAAACATAGTTAACTCTTAGAGCTGTCTAAATGTGTTGAAAATAGAAATTGCTTCAGGAAAGGTTTAGAAAAATTCACAACTGAGATAATAGCAAGAGAGCCTTGTGTACTTTGGATAAATTCATGATCTTTAGAGACTGTCATGGTGAACAGGATGCATCACATTTCCCTATAACAAGCCCCTTGTTAATTTTGTGAGACAGAATATTCTGGATGAACCACTGGCCTGCCCTCCCCAGCACTTCCCGTGATCTGACTGACACAGGAGAGCTCTTTAAAAAACAATCTCTGGGAACTCATTTGCCAGAAATCATGTGCCTATGGAAATAAACAGAGGGGTTTTATTCATTATCTTCCACATTCTCGCCATTGTAAAGCACCTGTGCCCTCACACCGCTCAGGAAACTGAAATAGAACACAGACGCTATGGAGGTTTGTTTACTTCTACATTTTCCATTTTTGCCGAAAGGGTTCCCGTGGGCATCATCGTGCCAACAGTGTGAATTCTCTCCTCACAGATGCACAGGCCTTCCTTCTGGCCTTTCCCCCGACCCCCTCCTAATTCACTCAGATGATGGCCACCAACGGGACACTTCCTTTGTCTGGCTGGGATGACAGATGGCAGAGCTTCCACCGGGATTGGCATTAATAGGACTCAGAGGAGCTTCCGAGAGCGAATTGAGAGGCCATTCCTCTCTCGCCTCCGGAGACTTAGTACCTCATATTTTGAATCCATCTTTGCACTCACCTTATAGGTAAAAGGGAAGAGGCCAGAGGAGATAGTGGCATGGTTGCAGTTAGCATTTATGTTTAAGAGAGCAACAATGGGCTTGGGCTAAAAGCATCGATGCGACCTAATCACTAACCGCGTATCCCCTTTGTTATGGAAGTCCAAATTCCCAGAAAAAATATTTGAACACACCCTTGGATAGAGAGGATTTATTTTTATAAGCTGCAGCCCAGCTTGTGAAATGAAAGCTCCTACACACTGCAGCAAACCATCTGTCAAGGGGGCTCCAGATGAGCTAAACAGATGCAACAATTCAAGTCATTTCTGAAATGCATGAAGACAACTAGCATGGAGTCAGGATTAGATAATACCCAAATCTTAAATGCTTTTAAAATGCCAATGGGAACTCATCAGTGTCAGATAACCCTCTCCATACAGAGCTCGTCATTGGGAGACATTTTTTTTCCCATTCTTAGCATTCTCCTTCTTGACTCAGAACAGTGGGTAACAGTAGAGCATTCAGAATAGTGGATAAATAATAAAAGAGCCCTCTCTCAGGCTACCTAATGTTTTTGAATTAAACAAGAAACCTGAATTCTGGATGGATGAAAGGAAAAGCTTCAGGTAGAAGGAGTGAGAGTTTACTGAGTGCTTACCAAATGGCAAACGGTGTCTAAAATGCCTTGTGCATATTAATTTAAATCTCACAACAACCGTATGGGATATGTACCTCACTGTCCCCATTGAACAGATGAGAAAACTGAGCCTCTAAGAGGTAAGGAACTTGACAAGGGAAATGCCATCAGTCAATGGCAGAGCTGGAGTCTGGGCAGCAAACCTTGACATTCCATTTTCTCAGCATGCCTTGAACATTATTTCTAGATCATCAAGAAATGACAGTTGAGGCCATGGTGGCACCATCTCTGAACCCCAGAAAAGAGTCACACAGACTCTTCTAGTGCACAACAAACACAGGCAGAGAAAGCAACAGATGGAGCTGTCTGGGGGTCCATAGGATCCCTTCCTATCCCTGACTTTAGCTTCCTCTGTGGTCACCCAGGTGTTTCCCGACATAGCCTATTTTGGGACCTCTTTTCCTGACCCCAGGTCTGAACTTTCCAGCTCCTGGCAGGACTGTATCCTGTGCCCTTCTCATTAGCACCCCACTCTATGGAATTTTCATTGTCCTTTGGCTTTTGATCTTAAGAGTTGCATGTGAAAATAAATTAAAGCTGAGATGAGAGGAACTGTGACTATAGCAAGTGTTTCTCAGCAGCAGCGTTTCTCAAAGAGGGGTCCTCTGGCAGCCTGCATTGGCATTATTGGAGGTGCTTGAAGTTCCAGGCTCCACCTCCTACCTCAGGCATCGGGCTCTGCGTGTGCAGCTGAGGGATCTTTTTAACAAGCTGTCCATGTGATTCTCACACACACTGAAATTTGAGAACCACTGATGGGTATAGAGAGTTTTATGCTTAATAACCAAGAGATACTACTCTATTTGCTTATCAAGAAAAGCACTGAGTTTCCCTACCAAAAGAAGCAGAACCTGGAGGAGCTGATCATGTTAGTGTTTGCAGTTGACTTGGGCATTTGCAGGCTACTGACTATTGAGCATGTTAAAACACAATATGTACCATGCTTTGGAAATTTTATCTAGGTTTCCCCAGAAACCATTTTCTTACAGAGCAAGATAAAGTAACAGGCCTTTCATAGGAGACTAGCTGCTACTTCAGAGTGTCCTCAGCAACATCTTCAGCAATTAACAGAACAAAGAGAGTAACATAACAAGAGGGGAAAAGTTCAGACTTTCTTCAGCCTCCAAACCTGCCATGATTTTCCTAGAAGTTTTTATCACGGATCTGGGGAGGCACATGATCATCCTACCACAAACTGGATCCGTGATAAAAACTTCTAGTTTTAACTATCTAGTTTATGGTGGAGCCCTTCACCCCAAAGTCCACATGTACCCTATTTTATTTTAGATCTAAACTCCAGAATCCTCAAAGGTCTTACCGGCAGGTCCAGGCACTCAATCATTTGCACAGCCCGTCTCCTGTCTCTGGGAGATAACCTGACTTCACTTGCAGCTTCTCCATCGCAAAGAGTCAGTTCCCAAAGACCAGCACACCTAGGGGAGCTTTTTAAAAGTCCCATTTCCTGGCCTTTGCCCAGACCTACTGAGTTGGAACATCAGCAATGGGCCCAACAATGTGTATATTTATAAGGTTTTCTGGGTGATATGATTATCAGCGTAATTTGGCAAATGCTGCATCAAAGCCTTAATGACAACATATTTCTACCTTCTCCCAAACTTTTTTTAAACATGCAGTCTCCATTATAAGAACTTTGCCAGTCTTTCTTCCTTTTAAGTTTCTAGAAAATAATACTTGGTGGAATGAAGATTTTAGTTCAACTTCATGGGAGGCTTTATCTCAAAGCTAATTACACTGAGGCTTCCGGGACTCCTGTATGCATGTCCCTCTTCCAAGGCACCGAATGTAATTTTTAGCTGTAACTTTGCTTTTTATATTCTTAAATAGAGCATTCCAAATTGTGTAAGCTTTGGGCACCACAAAACCTGAACCTGTCCCTGTCTAAAAATGATAGCAAATATATATGACAAAGCTCTGCAAAATAGCCCCAAATCAAATATTTTTAATAACTTGATTTTTTTTCTTACCAGTGAGTTCCTCTGAATGTCCCTCCCCCTTTTTAACCTGATATTATGCACCGCAGAAGTTTATTTTTGACACGGATTCTGATACTCGTTCAGAGACAATATTAGTGCCATGATGGCCTGGGACAAGAGCTGATAGCAAGAACAGATGGTCCAGGCAGAAGCCCACCCAAAGGGAAATGATGATGCCATGTGTGTGTTAGCTGTTTGAGAAGTCCGAGAGGGTAGCATGCTGTCGAGATTAAGTGGGGACTCTGAAACCACACTATGTGACCTGAACTCAAATTGATTGATTTACCCAGTGAATTTAATAGATGGGCCTCATTCATTTTGAATAGGAGAAGAAACCTGCTGCATCTTCCCTATTCATGAGCTCATTCTCCCAATTTAGGAAGGTCGCCTCATGCTCAAAGCAAAAACCAGCCCTCAGGTTGGGAAGCAAAGGTTTTTTGCAGGACTCAGATGTTCACGTGTTCTGTGCTCAGGCTATTTTTACTCAGCAGCACAGACGGTAGTGTAAGCACAGATTTCTTCAGCAGTTTTTAGCAGGTGTGGGATCCTAGGCCATTGTCCTTGAAACACACACATTCACTCTGTGTAACCGAACAGCTTGGGAACTAATGCCATCATATATGTGACCATTCAGCTGTCTGCTTCTGGTTATTAAAAAAAAAAAGTATAAAATGTAACTTCAGGAAGACCTTTTATAGATGAGAATGACTGAGAAGTCATGAAAGAATATAATAAATCATATCGGAGCCATTTAGGAAGCAGGGCATATATGCACAGGAAATAATCTTGAGGATCTGCAAGAAGCTCACGTGAGAGAAACATAAGCTCTGCCACAGAAGTAGGTTTTATTCAGTCAAATGAGAAGTGGCCAAACTCCCTAAAGGCACATGGTCTGACTGGTGCTCTGGGTTACCACTGTTCCAATCTCAGCAGGAAATGAGGACCAAAGTGTAAAAAGTATAAATGCTGAAAAAAAAATACCGAGCTGCATGTTGTGAGAAAGCAACCAACCTAATGAAGAAAACCAAGGGGGAGTTGTAGATGGAGTTTGGCAGAGATAGCTAAATATCCATGCCAAGAAGTGCGGCCTCCTTCTCCAGGAATAGTATGCTAGAACAGTAGATGTGACACTGATGTGGCTGCTCAGCTAGAGACCACATTTCCTCCCTGACTCTTAAGTGGGGACATCTGATGAGCTACTGTCAATGGAATGTGAATGGAGGGCACATGCTTCTTTCCTGTGCCAAGGCGATTAAGAAAAAGGTAAGCCTTCTTAATCATTTTCTCCATTCTCTTTATTCCCATCTGCCTGCTGGATGTTGAAGTTGGAAGTATTGAAGCCGCTCATAGCCTAAGTCCCGGAATGATACTTTGGAACCCCCAGGTGACCTGGAACCACCTTGCACTGTTACGTGAGAAATAAAACTATATGTATGCATGCCTCTAAAATGTTACTGTTTGCTTTTTTATAGCAGCTAGTATTACTCTAAGTAGGAGACAATCAAATTGTGTTTAAAGTTACAACATACCTGTTATGTGAATATGATATTCCTCCTTGAAGATCTTCTGGAAGAAAGGAATCTTGAACTGCATGTGAGGAGTGTGCAACCCAGGAAGATTTACATCAACATCTCCCATAAAATGTGGGAATTCCCAGTCCTGTCAAAGAAAATCAACATAAAAACATATTTGTGATTTGTTTCGTTCCTAAGCAGCAAAACACCAAAAATTGACTTTTTATAAGCACTTATTTTAAAATCATTTAAATGCAGCAAGCTGTTGGATGTTTCAATCTGTAATGGTTATTTTATGTACATTAGGTAGTTGCATGCATTCAAAATCAAAATTAAGTCATAACTTACATCCTCAGATTTTCTCTTTAATGTGGTACTAAGAAGCCAATATAGAATTGATTTGCATCTATACGTGTTTATCTCTTTCATTCTGGAGAACTGATCTTAAATTTTTATAGGGAGGAAGTGATCCATATTTTATAAATATGTGGTAATTTTGTTATATTTTGTTTCCCTACCTTTTAAAAATATGAACCCTCTAAGACTATGTTTTGTGTAAGAGGACAAAGTAAAGAGGATCTAATTCACTTAACCAAGTTTTTCAACTCACATCCAAGGGCCTTTTATTAATCATCTCTGTTGACTTACTACATGCAATGGAAAAATGCCAAAGACTCCTGTCCTGTTCTCTTGCAATTTAGCATCAATTTGAAGCAGATGATGGAGGGCCTGACATGCTAGCAGGAGAGATGAACAATGAATTAATTCCCCAATGATCTTAGTTATTTTCTTGTTGTAAGGCAAAATCAGGAGGGCTGACCCTCCCTCTCCTAAGGAAGGGAAACAGATGCAAATGAGGATATTTTTAGGTGTCTCATCTGCTCTTGGTTTTTGGATAGAGCACCAAACTGAAGTTCACTACTAGCATGTGAAGAAAGAACAGACTAAATAGACTCAAATATGAACATCTGAGGTGGATCCATAGGCATTCATATACATATTTTCACTTTGAATAACTAACTACTAAATTATCAGTCCTATGTTTAGTGAGTATCTTTTAAAAATATTACTTAAAACATAATGGAAAAAATATGCATTTCAGATTTCAATACATTATTTTAATTTAAAAAGTTAAATCTTTCCATGACTTCTATATATTCAGCTTATACACATATGCCAATAATAGAGTGGCTGGAACATTACAGCGGCCTCCATGTCCATCCCACTCCCCTTTCGGCTGAGAATTCTGGTCAAGGGAGGATAGGCTTCAGAGAAAAGGAGCCTCTGTGAGTGGCGGTCGCCAGGAAAGTTTTCAATGTCTATTAATTTCATGACCAATGAATCACTTCAAGCTGATAACAAGAAATACACAAAAAGAAAAATGAAATGATACCACATCATCTTTTTCTATTGGTGTGTATGCACATATCTTGTTGGTCTCACCTCCCCTTGTTTTTCAGACATCAGCAGTAAGTAGACCTGTAATTTGGAAAATTTGGAAATCCCAAAGCATAAGCTGGATCATTTAGAATATTTTGATCTAAAATATTAGTGGAAATGGATTGGTAATAATACTTGTGAATTACTGCACTTTATTAAATTGCATTTTCCTTTATTTTTCATCGACATTACCTTGCATTTTTTGTTACTTGAAATACTCTTGCTAAAAGAATTGGAATTGAATTTGGTCTTTTGCTAAAATGTAACTGACATCTCCCAAGAAAAATTATGCTTGACACACAAAGGGTCTGATAACCAGAGTATTTTTCCCTTTCCCTGGATAAACAACATAAAGCATTATCAATAGAGCAGTTCTCGTTTTCATTTTTTTTTTTTTTTTTTTTTTTTTTTTTTTTTTTTTTTTTTTTTTTTGGTTTAAGGAAGAGAATAGTTCTTGGTAGTGATAGGGCAAGTATAGTTAGTGTACCTTCTTTTTTGAAAGGTGCTCTTGGACTGTTCTCGTTTAGCTTTTTATTCCATGAAATGGAAGTTTTCTACCAGGTATGAAATTGGATTAGTTCAAAAGTACACTTAAGAGATTTCTTATAGAATGGGATCAAAGCTTCATTCACCAAAAAAATAGTTCCTCAATTATTTCCCACCTGCACTTGGAGGAAGATGAATTAAGGAAATTGAGTGTGGACAAAACAGAAGAGAAACTCTTGATCCTTATTTGGATGATGGCATTAGTGGTTTTTGTTTTGTTTTGTTTTCTTTTTGTTTGTTTTTTTTAAAGAAGGGATCAGGACAAGGAGTTCCCTGGAATGTGTGATAGATGTAGCTGGTGCCATGTAAGAAAAGTTTTTGAAAAGAGGATTAATAAAAAAGAGATGGTACATTCTTTTAGAGTCACTCCTTCCATATGATTTTTTATAATCACCCCATCTTGGTTTTCAAAACCCTTTTCCTTAATCTTGGAATTCCCTTCTCTCCTTGCTAGTCCATTTTTGTGCTTCAATTCCTACTCCCACATACTTCTCCAGACTCATGATTGGATCAGTGTAAATTCTGGTCTCACTTGACGTAGAGTGGAATGGTAATAATAATAGTAGTTGCTATAATTTGCAGGAAGTGTGGGGCTTGTCTTAATGGACAGCAGGTATCTGAGGCTGGTGATACCTACTTTAAGTAGGTGAAAGAGGATGGAGGATGGTGTTCTGAATCTCTTTAGGTTTCAGCCTCTTTATCTATAAATTGGGGTTAAATAGGGGTGCCTGGGTGGCTCAGTTGGTTAAACATCTGACTTCAGCTCAGGTCATGATCTCGTGGTTTGTGGGTTCCGGCCCCTCTCAGGCTCTGTGCTGACAGCTCAGAGCCTGGAACCTGCTTCAGATTCTGTGTCTCCTCTCTGCTCCTCCCGTGCTTGCTCTCTCTCTCTCTCTCGCTCTCATAAGTAAATAAACATTAAAAAAAATTTAAGGTAGATAGCTAGATAAATAAATAAATAAATAAATAAATAAATAGGGGTTAAATATTGCGACCTCACGGGCTCCTTGGGAGGATGAGATAATGCATGGACAGCAATGAGCACGGTGCTGGAGACAGAAGGAAGCGACAGGGAAATGGCCAACAAGCATGGCTGGTTTCCCAGCATGATCCCAGGGTCAGTTTTATCCTGAGAGTGAAGCAGAGGAACGTGATAGGTCTGTTTTCAGAATCACACATAGGCTGCTTCCAGGTCCCGGTGAGAAAAGTCAAACGCTGTCTTCCCCTTTCTGCTCTCATCCACTGCACAGTGCTGGCCTCCTGAGGTCTGTGACTGGGACTTCGATCAGAGTGGTGTTCTCCCAGAGGGCACTGGGAGCAGGGCTTTAGAGAAGGTGCCTCTCAAAGAAACGTGAGGCAACCTCAGGGGAAAGATGGAAGGACATGACCAACTTGGTTTCTTGTGCAATGTGGTGACACTGTTGTGACATCCAGAAAGAACAATGGGGGAAGGGAGGCACTGCTTCTGGGCAGGTAGGAGCTGGTAAGCTAGCACATGAGTAACTAAGAGCTGAGGAAATCTGTGGGCATTTGGCATTAATTATCAAGCACTTGCAATGTTCTAGCATCACCCTAGGCTATGTATTTATATTTTACCTATGTACAAAATGATTGTGAAAGCTTACTATTATTAGCCCATTTTACAGATGAGGAAATTTGTCTTAAAATGATGTACTTGCGTTGTGGCAGAGCACAGCCCGAAGAATAAATACCTTCTGTCAGGCCATGCTTTCTGTGTGAACAGTGATAACAGTTACTGTTTTTCACTCTGAACTGGGATTATTTTGACCTGCTCTATCTATTCTACTGGAGAATCAGTGATGACAGTCATCTCCTGCTCGTCTCCCACCAAAAGCCGTTCCATGAAAACCTTTGAACTGCATCGCTGCCTCCTACCCAAGGGGTCTCATTTTTTATCTGACTCAAATTTGAACAAGAAGACCATGCCTAACTAGTTCTCCACTAAGCACCTGTCCCAGTGATAGCTGGCTTCTAATCACGCTGATAAGTTGGGTCATTTGACTAACAGGTGATTGATATCAAATACTGAGATTCTCTTGACATTATAACTGGATGTATAGCCAATTTCATACACAGCTTGTATATAAATGCTATGAGAATCATGGCTTGCTTTCTTGCTGTGTAAACATAAGGCATATACTTTGGACACAAGATGAAAATGTGGAGTTATGAGAATGATGAGGCAAAATGTGTTTAAAACCATGGTAGAGATAGGCTGACACTGTGACTGTATATTATGAAATGCTCATTTAATTTGTTCTTCAAGAAACATTATCAGTAGTAATTCAAGGCTTCCTTACTCCTTTCTGGTAGTAAATCTAACAATGACTACAGAAGTCTATCACATTAATGGTTCAGTGAAGTAAGAGATATTTAGGCCCATCAGCTCATACCTGCCCCTCCACTTCTCATCAGTTCATGGTGACGAACAGACTTCCATCTTTGTATCTTGCTTCATATAAGAAACAGTTAATTCTCATTCCGATGGGCATATTTCCCATATAAAAATAAATGAGCAGTGCCATGGTATATATCTAATCTTATTTCTTACATACTATGGCTTACTCTGCCTATAGCAATAAAAATCACATTTGGACACTGATGTCCAAATTACATTGGGACATGTAATTTGGACTGATGCATCCAAATCTGATTCTGTGCAAATGTGGCCCTCTCATTCATGGACCACATTTGGACAGAATTTCAGGGAAACATTAAGTATATAGACAAAATGGTCTCAGGATATGCTGGATTCATCATTCCCTCATGTTTTCTCATTGAGACACATGCCTTGGGGCCAAGAGAAAGAACTTGGTACTATGCAGAGGAACTCAAGCTTGAAACCAACACTGTTTTGAATTCCCCAACTGGCATTCAATTTCCCAAATCAAATGAAGAGACCTCATTTCTATTTAGAGAAGCGTTAGAGGATAAAAATGTAATAACACTGACTACCCCACAAAACTAAAGCCATGGTATCAGAGCAGAAGTTTAATGTGTGTGTTCGTGTGGGGTGCAAATATTGGCCACTTGATTTTTTAGGAAATTAAGACAATAGGTTAGAATTTACTGAAAAGTAGTGATCACCATTTCAAAAAGAATTGACAGTAAATTCTTAGATGTTAATAAAAATTAGCA